ATTCTCTGGCAACTTCAGAGAGTTCAACAGTTTTTGGACAGTGTTCGAATCACTGATTCACGGCGATGAAGACTTATCAGATGGCGACAAATTCCTTTTTTTGAAGCAAGCACTCAAAGGAAAAGCGGCTGTTGCTCTGAACTGCATCCTGTCGTCGCAGACAAGTACAAGACAGCCGTAGACATTCTGAAGAAGCACTTTGACCGCTCTGCCAACATCGCAGATATACTCATCAATGAAATCGAACGACTTCAAGAAGAAAAGACCATCCCAAAAGCTGCCGAGAAACCTTCAAAGCAATTAATTCGCGGATCATCCACCTGGAGCAAACCGGAATGAAGATGAACGCGGACAGAATTTGGCGGCGACTGATCTTGTCTAAATTTCCCGAAAACTTCTGCGCAACAGTCATCCAGAAAGAAACCACACGAGGAGATCAGTTTAGTGTTCAGGAGATTCTGGACGCAATCGACAGCATCATCTCACTAAGGGAAACGACTTCGCTCACAACGGAAACTCTTTCCTAGCAACTCCCGATCAAGCAGCCACCACAATGCTCGCGTCGAGAAGCCAAAATGGGATAAGGCGAAGCAATTTTCGGAGAAGTCACGGAAACTTTGTTTGTGTGGACAACCACACTCACCATACAGTTGCCAAAAATACACAACTCCCGAAGCACGCCGTCTTGAAGCAAGGAATCAAAGAGTATGCTGGAGGTGTTTCGCAAAAACCCATAACTCAAAGGATTGCACAACGGTCGGCTCGTGCCCTAAATGTAAAGATTCTCATCACGGATCTCTCTGCCTGTCGGACGCAAGGAAACAAGAAAATGGTTATCTACAGCTGTCTCGACGTCCAACGAATAGCGACACTCAGCCTTCGCAAGCCTCTCGACCGCAAAGAAATCAAGTGAATCGAAATCGTCAACAAGCGAGCAACATGCAAGCAGCACAAAGAGGCACTTATCACTCCTATTCCCAAGGTATCTAGTGCACATCTGGTGTGCACTAGATACCTTGGGAATAGGAGTGATAAGTGCCTCTTTCCAAAGTCCGGGCACTTCGCCAAGAAGCATGGAGAGATTGAAAATGTGTGCCAAAGGTTTGCAGAGGGCGTCGGCACATTCTTTATATATGATCTGAGGTAGGCCGTCGTAAGGTTCGCTAACAGAAGGTTTCAATTTTTTCAAAATTTTCCGAATATCAGACGAATCAAAGTATAGGTTACACAGGAGTGGTCTAGTCGATGGTGTGTCAACTAATTCATCGCGGGTAACCAAATTGACGTTTTCCCGAGTGAACACACTAGCAAAATATTTTGCAAGTACGTTAGCTTTCTCAATATTTCCTTTGTATGTATGACCTTCTGTATCTTTGAGCACGGGTAGACGAGAGTAACTCTTGAGCTTTATGTTAACATAGTGAAAAAGGTACTTTGAGGAAGTTTTTGCTGAAAGTTTTCGTTCACGATTTGCTAAGAATTTCTTTAGGTGATAGTCAATATCAGAGCAAATCTTTTTATACATAGAACTATAGTGACTTTCGTGCGAACCTTTCATGAGCAAAAAAAGATTGCGCTTTTGTTCCATTAAATTTGCTATATGTTGTGGGTATCTGGTATTGTAAGGTTGAGGAATACGAAACGGCACATGAACCATTAGTGCCTTATAGACAACTCTGCAAAACCTTTGGTAGACATCGTCCATAGAAACATACTGGTCGAATACATCTAGCCAATCGACGTTGAGGAGATCACTGGTAAGAGCGGAAAAATCAGTTCGGAAAAAATCGGGTATAGGAAAGAGACTGGGCTTGCAAACTTCTTCATTTAATATAAATTCTACCATAGAATGATCGGAGTTTGCGAGAGGATGCAGTATTTGAACATCAGACACAACTTTTGATGTAGATAGAACAAGATCAAGAGTATGTGATGCATGAGTTGCACCCCTAACTAGCTGTTTCAGACCCAACTCTCGAAAGAAGTTCAAGAATTTGGCGGAAGAGTTGTTATAAGATTTGAAGCAATTCCAGTCGACTTGCAGGTTGAAGTCACCCATTATCACTGTGTCTGCGTTTTCATTGGCTAGATCGGTTAACGACTGTATAAGATAATCATCCTCGTTTATTTGGCAACTGGGAGGTCGGTAAACTAATATGAGTCTAATTCTACTTAGCTTCTTTTGAGATAATAAATCTATACAGAGAACATTGGCTTTTAAGGAACTAGAAACTTCTAACTTTTGTACCAGTAATTTATCGTGAACCAAAATGCATACGCCACCCCCTTTCCGAGTGCTTCTGTCTAGGCGAAACACCGTAAAAGGAAAACCACCTACAATCTCACTATCAAATATGTTTTGTGTAAACCAAGTCTCTGTTATAAAAACAATTTCCGGCTTATACTCGGTCAGAAACAAATGAAATTGGTGAATTTTGTTTACTAAACTTCTCGCATTCAATAAAAAACATCTAGTTAAAAACGGTTTACCATGCAGATTTAGATGTTTCCCGGCCTTCCATTTGCTAAATCGGACACACGCGTAAGCTTCCCGCGATACACTACCCATTCCTTCGCCGATCTTCCTTGGTTCCGTTCCCGGGCCGTCTGTCTGAGTTGGAACTCAATTTTTCGTTCCTCCTCAGTCATGCTTTTACGCACGAAGACGCCCGGGAACCCCGCGTGGCGAAGGGTATGGGCATTGCTAAGAGCACGCTTCCAAAAAAATGTCGACGGCAATACAAGTTTGACCAACCGCGGGCGAGAACCGTTAGGTTTCCCCAACCTGTAGACATCGCTCGGAGGGCAGTCAATGTCTAGGGCATCAAGCACCTCCTCGACTTTTTCTTGGAGGTGCTTGCGCCTAGCAGCGGCACCCAGTCTCTCCGGCGGTTCCTCTATACCGCTGATAACCAAACTTCTTGATCTCCTCTCCGCCTCCACAGCTCCAGAGAGATCCTTCGATACCTTTTCTGCCAATGTTTTTAGCATTTCCGAGATCAAAGGGTCTCGATTCCTTTGCTGTATGGCAGAGATCAAATCAAGCGCCGACATTTGTTCGTACTCTCCTTGAGCACTTACGCCTGTGTCATCAGCTTGTTCACCAACACGAACTGGCAGTTGCGAGCCTGAAGAAGCGTTATTTTTAGTGCTGCGGGTAGTCCTAGCCATTTTTGATCTTTTGATCTACCAATAAATCGGATTATCGATTCAAGGCGACTCCGACGGCGAGAAGGCGAAAATAATCAAAAATCGGGTAACTTCAACTTGAAGCGCACAAGAATAGAGATGCGGCTAATAGATTCTAGCGAGGAGCAGAAATGACAGGAAGAATAGAATGAATAAACGAAAAGAAAGGAAAAAATTAGGTTGTCTGACAGAGCAACAAAAATAGCCGCCGCACGCGCGCAGGACGAGTTGTGTTATGAGTCCCAAGTCTGACTTCCGTCCAATTAGCATGACCCCCTCGTCGATCAAGGTTATGGAGAAGATACTGCGAAATAAACTTAGTGATTGGTTGGTAAGATCTGGTATAATGCCACCTGAGCAGCACGGTTTCTTACAGGGCGCGTCCACCTTAACCAATTTAGCAGACAGTTTGTTCGACTGGACCACTGCTGTAAATAAAGGGGATTCCGTTGACATTATTTTTATTGATCTGTCAAAAGCGTTTGATAAAGTCTCTCATTCCAAACTTCTGATGAAATTGGAAGCTTATGGAATCTATGGGAACCTTCTTGCTTGGTTTGATTCCTATTTACGGAATAGACATATGACAGTCAAAGTTGAGCACAGCTTCTCCGATAGACAGCAGTGCTCGAGTGGGGTTCCACAAGGAGGATCGCTTTCACCATTATTGTTTCTTATCTACACATTGGAGTTGCCTTCTATACTTAAGACTTCACCCTCAATCAAAGTGCAACTATATGCAGATGACATCAAAATTTATGGGACTTATGGGACATCTGACTGTGATGAAGTACGATATGCACTTAAAACATCATTTGAAAAAATGCTTGACTGGTCTACGAAATGGGATCTTCCTCTTAATCTTGATAAATGTTCGGTCATGCATATTGGACGGGAGGAAGGACCAATTTATGAAATCAGAGGAATTACATTGAAAAAGCGCACAGTGGGCAAAGATCTGGGAGTTTACCTAAATCCAACTTTGAAGTTCTCCCAACATGTAGACTATGCGGTCAAGAAGGCCTATAGAATTTTGTATGCTATCTTCAGAAACATTCATTATCGTAATCATTCCATTCTCAAATGCCTCTATAGAACTTACGTACTGCCTCATCTAGAATATTGTTCACCTATTTGGAATCCTTACCTCAAAAAAGACGCTAAAAAGATAGAAAAAGTACAACAAACTTTTACCCGTCTGTTATACATAAGAAGCATACAGCCTCCATATGGGGAGATTCCTTGTTACAATGACCGGCTCAAGTTATTCAATATGAAAAGTTTGGAGCAGCGCCGAATGATAGCTGATCTTATCTTTTGTTTCCGTGTACTGCGCAAAGAAGTAAACCTCTCAGCCAGCAAATACTGGGTATTTATGCCGGCTAGTCAACGCTCATTCTCTTTCAATCTCCATTACCCTAGAATAGGCCGTAGAAAGTTTTTGTTAGCCTTCAACAGCCTGTTCTATCGTGGAGCAAGATGGTTGCAACGTCTGCCACCGGATGTTCTTCGCTCTATCAGTAGTTCAAGTTTCAAGATGAAACTGAGGAAAGTAGATTTGCAGTATCTTATCAGTTCAAGAGACTGATTTCTAGCAATTCACCAATTTCCTTCCAGATCCGGCTTTCACATTCATTCTCGGTCCGTTGGCATTACAACAGCTTGAATATGAACAGTGTGTCGGGACGTGGTTGTCATCATCGAAGTTTCACTTCATGATGCCCTGACGTGTTGTTTCTTATCATTCATCAACAGTGTTTCATTTCTTGTGTTTTCGTGTTTCATTCCTTTATTTAAAATTTCTTCAGCTCTCACATATAAGCATTGATGACAGTTCTTTCAGTTTTAGTCATGCGTATGTTTTGCTGTCCTTCCAGAGTTTCACACGTTTTAGTGGGGATATAGTCAGCTAGCCTCCGCCCGTAGGCTCGCTGGCCTTCAAAAGTGGGATCCAATTCTGGAAGATAGTAAGATATGCCAGACTGTGATGTGGTGTCTCCTACTTCTGATTTATTCAGCTCTTGGTCCGAAGAAGACACTGACTCTATTGAGATTAGCTGACTATTGTTTGAATTTACTGTGTCGTTGTTTTTGACTACATTATGTTGGCACACCTAGAGTGTAATCCAATAAACAATAAACAATAAACAAAACTCGCAAAATGGACAGGAGATAACTACACTGGACAAATCTCCGTCTGTATACAATCAATGCGTACTTCAAATCGCATCTGCAATGATATTCAACGAGGCAGATTGGGATTATCAACCCATAACAATACTGATTGACTCTGGCGCCCAGCGAAGCTTTATCAAATCAAAACTTAGTGAAGAGCTCAAGCTGCCAGTCAGCCAAACGACGTCATTCACCACATCAGGAATGGGAGAATTGAAAGAGACATGCAGTTCCAATGAAGTACGAATTACTTTGAAAAGCTTTCACAACGCAAAGAAGCTCAAGAAGATATCAGTGTACACGAAAGACATGTTGACTGCCAATCTACGTACAGCACATCTCACAGATGCAGATGTTCAGTTCATTTCCAATAAGAACTTGAAGATAGCTCATACGCTCACTCATAAAAGCGTCTTGCCTGAACTCATCATTGGACAAGATCTTCTCAACTTCGTCACTGTTCACACCGAAACAGTGCTCAAGCTTCCTTCGGGGCTCGTCTTAACCCTAACCGTCTTTGGATACGTCATATCCGGTACAAGCCGTATCAACGTGTGCACAGAGATCGTTGGCACTTTTGGTTGTACATCAACGATGCAGGAAGCCTCCGAATCCGCCCCTCACCCTCAACGACACGTCAAATGGCTGACGACGAAGAAAACGGGCACCAATTTCAACGAAAGCAGTACACGTGCAATCAACAGGAGAATCTCCTAGCGCATGCTGAAGTAACATCTCAAAAGACAACGAAGTTGTTACCGAAAAAGGGGAAACGCCGGACAGCTGCTTTCAACCGCGAAGCTAAGGCAGACAGACAACGTTGGCTGGAAAAAGTTCGCTGCATATTAGGCTCTAGTTCCAGCTCCAACACGAGGAGTGCGAATGGAACTCTTGCCAGAACACTTCAACCGACGACACAAGCCAAGACAAAGATGAAGGACATGCCGATGATCAACATCACGAACAATCTGATCACGGAAACGCCGGCTATCACGAAGACAATCACCGACAACGATTCTGCCAACTCAACATCGACGAGAGCAGATCCGACAAGGAAGAAGAGACGACGACGAAAGGCGAAGCCACACTAGGGACAGCAACGAGCAACCACTACAACTGTTCACCGTAAACTCTCTTCCGTCTATAGCTTCCTTTATTGTATCCAAGTCTACACAATTTTGTGCATTTATTGTTTTTGTGCCTACCCGATTAACGTCCTCCTTGCTCGCCCGGAGTGTTGATGATCTATGAATCATCAACCTCAACAACCAATCTAATTACTTACACTCATGAACACAGCTATATCTCAATTTCTAAGTCCAAATGCTTTTAGGAGGTTTTGATTGTATTTATTTATTTACATTTCAACAGATTTCGCCTCTTCCTTGCTCGCCCGGAGTGTTGATGATTTATGTATCATCAACCTTAACAATTCTGTAAGTCTGTACGTATGTGCGGAATAGAAATTTTTATTTCTGAACCGATTTGGACTAAACTTGGCACACATATACTTCGGGGCAGGGAGCGTGTCATAGGCTACTTTTTGCTATCGGTCGATATCGATTATCGATTTTTTGCAAAATTTGAGCTACGGGGCTGGGAGTTGGCACGGGGGGGTAATCGAGCATGCTGATTACGAATATAATAATGACAGGGCCGGGCGGAGCCGGGTTTGCCAGCTAGTTCGCTATAAGCCTATGTCATGTCATGCATTACTTCCGACCCGTGAGTCTATCGAAATTGAACATACAGTTTGTCCCAATCGACAGGGGTCACCGGGTGGGAGACTATATGTCGCCGAAAAGGGCGGTCCCCGCGGTCATTTGCAACAAATACGCACCCTTGCATATGCACGGGAATGCGTTCCTGCAAGAAATCCGCGCGAGACCCTTCCACATTCGGCGACACATAGTCCTCCCCTGGTCACCCCACTAGTACAGTCTTTTCAGGGCTAAGCGGAACATTCCAAGTGGAGCAGCGCGTCCGCACCGCCACTGGCTCAGCGAGACATGTTAAAATGAAGACATGCAGACTGCAAAGAGGCGCGAATCATTGCGAAGCGGACCCCCGCCAGTCCAATTTCAGCCTGAACCGAGTTAAAACTCACTATATTTGAGCCCTACTCGGCTGCGACTCCAACTGGCGAGCGTTTGGACGGTCCCGTTTACCTCTACCCACCACCACTGCCGCTCATGCACTGTGCTTGCCTTTTAAGGCAGCAAAAATTACAAGCGGCAGATTTTCGTCACAAGACCTTCTGGCTTCCATGTGAACTCTCGTTCCAGCTTCTCTTTTTTTTGAAAGCGGTAAATGCCCTAATAACAATCTTTCATCCGATTTGAAGATCGGATTTGAGTACCTTACGGAAGGCTCAAGATATGCTGGACTTCAATATGCAAAACCTCGGTAACCTTCAATATGCAAGACCTATAGAACAGTTTCTCAGCACTGCTAAGCATAATTGGTTTGATACTGAAAACATCGTGTCGATGAGTATCTCCGAGACAGCTAAAAACTCTTATTTCGTGTAAAAGCACGGAAATGCTTACTGAAAATTGTGTGACATGTTCAGCTCTTTATTGCTACTATAGAGTCATCTTCTGTCAAGACCGCAAATCAATTTTTTGGAGGAGAGACTAATCAAGGTTCATTTTACGCGATCAATTCCGGAAGTTTAAATTCTCACTAAAATCACTATATTGTTGATGAACTTGCTGCAGAATTTAATCTGCTTTAGGCTCCCAAAACTCACCCTTCTGTACGTTACCGACTTTTTCGCATGAAGGACTTTATAACAGAACACTTTTCCTTCTTCGTAGTCAGAAGGACATGGAGATGCACATCGATCTCTTTGCGCTGAAATTAGATGTTCTGTAAAACAATACATCATCAAGATTTCTTAATACTACCTATTTCAGTAGTCCACCTTTCCGTGGTTGTATCTTTAATCAAATGTGTTGGCTTGCTGTGTGGAAGAGTTGGAAAAGTCGAAGTTCCTGCCATCTTTGAGGATGTTAACCGAGATTGATTATCAACTTGTACGAAGCGTTCCGTGGGGTAGTTACTACTTTTCAACACTACTGTGGTTGTCTGAAGCTTTCGCGATAAGTTCGATGAGCTTTGCAGGAGTTGGGATATTGTATTTAGTCCGCTCGTAAATAGTTCCTGTAAGAAGGAACGGCTTGTCTCCTCGGTAGAGACTGGAATAGCGATTTCTGCTGTAGAAGGCGTAAAGTATGTACGTCCTCTGGCTGTTGTTGAATAGTTAGTCGCAGAATAAGAAGATGCGTTGTAATCACTTTCAGTTTTCAAATATGCAGTTGAAAGCCAAAGTAGTGCTGTGATGAGAAAACTAGGCCTTTCTGACAGTCTTGTTGAATTAAGGCCAGAAGTGATGGTGCTTGTGAAGGGCATCGATGTAGAATGTTTGTCATCTGTTGAGAAGGCCCCTGTTGAGATAAAGTTGGTTGTTCCCATTGAACTGGAAGCAGAAGTCGTATCTTCTTGTATCTGAGAAGAAGAAGCAAGATCGTTCGCTTTGCTTGTGTCACTTGAATAGAATTCGCTCGAAAGCCTCGAATTGAGCAATCTTGATGACATCAACTCCGTTGTGTAGGCGGTTATGTCCGGGTTCTTCCTGTCCAGCTCCTTGGAATCGGTCGTAGGTGATACTACTTTAGTTCCTATGCTTGAAGCTGCAATTTCTTCCGCTGAGGAAGTTGACATTCCATTGGTCGTATAGGCGCTAGGCAAAGATGAACTGGCAGGTATTTTCGTCACTGAAAATGAGCCGCTTTGTGCAGAATTGGATTTGTTAAACAATATTGACTTGAGTGTTGGAGTTGTTGAGCGAACCATTTGAGAGCTAGCCGTACTTACAGTGTTCGATATGTAAGCCACATCATCAGATTCGTCTGATATGCCGGACGTTGAAGTTTTTCGATACTCAGATGTGCTGGGCTCAAGCATTTCTATACTGGTTTTTCTGTTTGTTGTTGTAGCCTTGAAGCGAGTAGATACCCTGGAGGTTTCGATCTCAGGAGAAGCTGTTCCTAATGTGCGGTAGAACGATGGCTCTTTGGAAATGGATAATAGGCTTTTGCCGATTACATGCTTTGTAGATGTACCAATGTTTTCTTCGATGAGCCTAGACGAGAAGTCTGTAGCGCTACTTCCACTGACTAGAGCTTTCGAGGAAATAATAATTTCTGGCGTGCCACTCGAAGGTTGGTTCGTTGCTGCCGTTGTATGATATGATGATGCCTCTGAGTTCGTAGAAATAGGTGATGGCGTTTTGCTGAATGCATCCTGTAGTGGTGTGCTGGTACTTTCTTTGGTAAGAGTAGACAAGAAATCTGTGCTAGTACTGCTGTCCATTAATGGCGCATTTGAAAAAGGGCTGACTTCTGATGTGTCACTCGCAGAAGGCGTTGCTGCCGTTATATGATATGATGATGCCTCTGAGTTCGTAGAAATAGGTGATGGCGTTTCGCTGGCTGCATCCTGTAGTGGTGTGCTGGTACTTTCTTTGGTAAGAGTAGACAGGAAATCTGTGCTAGTACTACTATCAATGACTGTAGCCTCTGAAAGAATGTTAACGATCGGAATGTCACTCGCCGAAGGCCTTGATGCAGTTGTATGGTATGATGGTGCCTCTGACTTCTTTAATGAGATAGATGGAGTTCTGCTGGCTGCATCCTGTATTGGTGTGCTGGTATTTTCTTCGGTGAGCGTAGACAAGAAATCTGCTCTAGTACTGCTGTCCATAAATGGCACATTTGAAAAAGTGCTGACTTCTGATGTGTCACTCGCAGAAGGCGTTGCTGCCGTCGTATGATATGATGATGCCGTCCGCTTGTTTATCGAGGTGGGTGACGTAATTTCGCTGGCTGCATCCTCTAGTGGTGTGCTGGCACTTTCTTTGGTAAGCATAGACAAGAAATCTGTGCTAGTCCTACTGTCAATGACTGTAGCTTTTGGAAGAATGTTAGTCGAAGTTTCACTCGCAGAAGGCGTTGCCGCCGTTGTGTAATATGATGATGCTGGTGCCTTGTTTTCTGATGTAGGTGAAAAGGTTTTGCTGGTTGCATCCTCTATGGACTCTGATCCATTACCTTCTTCCGTAACCGACGAAGCAAAATCAGCGTTTGCTGGAGTGATTATAGCTACCAAATAACTATGTCCTCTCGAAAATTCTGATGCGGAAGGTATTATCGAATTTTGTTGGAAGGAGGAGGATGTAGGCCCTTGTGATTTAGAGCTTAGAAGTTTGCTGTTTACATCCGCTGCTCTTGTTGGATTGCTTCTTACCTCTCCTATGGTTGAAATTTTAGTTTTTTGTCTTTTGTCCGTTATGCCAGTCGTTGAATAAATGCTCTCCACCGAAACTTCAGGTGTAAAAAGGGTTTGTGCGAGTGAATGAGAAGATGTTGTTGACTCGAACTTAGATTTTGAAGTCTTAGTAATTAGATCCGTACGTTTTGTACGACTTTTTTCTCCTTCGAGTTTTGTCGTAGCCGTTTCTTCGTAATTTGAAGACTCCGTCTCACTCGCATGTGAATCGACAGACACTTCCTTGCTGCCAATCACAGGATTATGAGTATACCCTTTTAACGTCAGTGTTGCTTCGGACTTCAAGTATTCACTTCTGCCTGAGCTGGTAACATCCTCTAAAGGTTCCTGTAATATCGATGTCGCTTGAGGATAGAAACTTCGGCTCTCCGCTGCGCTTGTGCCTTCGGTGTTCTGACCAGCAATTGGAGTAGCAGATTCAGTGCTTATCTTTTGTTTTTCATGCAGTGAGGTGGGTATTGCAGTCGTCATATCCCCTGAGTTGTAGGGAGTTGAACCCTTCTTTGAGTCAGCGTCCTCCAGTGTACTTGTATGCGCATGATTTATTGACAAGGCAAAATCGCTAATCTCTGTCCATATAGAGTCTACTCTTGGAGATAAAGTTTTGTCAAACAGTTCCACTTGACTAGAGACTTCCGAAGTTGAGGGTTTAGTGGCTTCTTTTTTTGTGGAATCAGAAGAAGAAGCACGTGTTACATGACGATTCTCCTTTGTTGTCAGCGTACTCGTCATTGCTGGGCTCTGTTTCTCCTCTTCTTTTTCCTCAAACTTCTCAGTTGCCGGTGGGTGTTCCTCAAAAATTGTTTCCGATGTTAAGTTCCCTTCTTCCTCCTCAGTAATCTCCTTTGACGACTCCGAAGAGTCCCCTGTCGTGCTACTTGCTTCAACTTTAGAGGTGGTTTCATCTTCCACATCAAAAAGGGGAATAGTGGTGTAGGCATATCTGCTCTCCAACACTGTCGTGATCGCTCCGGACCCCCTCTTCAATGTCGTTTGGATATTCAATGTGCCAAAAATTGTTTCACTCTTCCCTCTGTGCTTAGAATCACTTGCGTCGATGGCTGGGAACTGTGTAACATCGCTCAATATCTCACTATTTGAAGTGGAGAAATCTCTGTCTGACCAAATTGATTCCGTTTTAGGAGCTGAATCGCTCTCAAAACTTTCAGTCGAAGTGCCTAATGAAGGCGTTTCATTTATAGCACTTGTTGATTTCCTTTCAATACCTAAATCAGTTCTCTTGCTAGAGAGGATGCTATCGGTCGGCGATATAGAAAGTATGCTTGGGAATTTTTTCTCATTCAAAGAGGTCGTTTCATCTCTTGTGCTAATTGCGGTGATTGAACTCACAACCACACTTTGCTGACGTGAAGAGGAAGTTGCATCAATAAATTGTGTACATTTAGGGTATACTGAGATGGGTGTGGTTGCTGTCAAGCTACGTTTGGAAGTAGTCGTTGACTTTGAGAGTTTTGGAAACTTCGGCGGACTCCAATCATTCTTGGAACAAATACTTATCACATAAATCTTCGGCGTTTCCTCAATTGTTGTACAAATAACGTCGGTGAACAACCCTAGGCACTTTTCAGATAATCGGCATGGACAAAAACCAGACATTTCTAAAGATGTTGCTGTGCTTGATGAAATTACTGTTGTTATTTTCTCAGCCAGCAGATCCGTCAAGTTCTTATCGTAGCCATCCGCTCCGCAAAAATTCCCGAGTTCCGTGTCCCATTTTGAAGAGTTTCTGGAGAGAAGAGCAACCCACGATGGAGGGTAATTATAGCATCGGACGAGCGAAGTCGAGTTGTAAGACTCTATCAACCCTGGTAGATTTTCTTGTTGTCCAACTTCCGCGAACCTGACTAACCGCGCCATCCAAAAATCCATTTCCCACTTATTTTCAATCTCCGAGTTACTCAATGCTGAAAGTTAGAAAATCGAAAGGGACCACTAGTGCGAAATTTTCCTCAAATTGCCCTATTGGTTCATTATTGTAGCACAATATCTATGCTAAAAACGCGAAAAAAATCAACATTTTCAACCACCGCAGCGAAATGTACGTTGGTAGCCTCAGATAATCGCCGGGGGCAGGCGGTCATACGATTTATGGGCGGGCGGGCACCGGAATAATAGTTCGTCTAATTTCTTGCGGTCCGCTTGCAGATATTTGGAAGAATTTTAGCGAACTTTTAGACGAATGCTTGGAAAACAATCGCGGTTTCTTTATAGATTAGCTGCGGCGCATTGGCCGCATTCTCGCGGACTTTCCGTGAGAATACTTTGTGGAGGACCGCGCAGCCCCCAGGTACTTTCCGCTGAGAGAAAGCACCTCAAACTTGAGTAATTAAACCATCGATGACACCTCTGCCATGCAGAGTCTTATCTTTGCTCGGCGTACGCCCGAAACTGCTTAAAAACGGTCCGAGCGCCAGCTAATATTTTGGCCAGCGCTCGCTGAAAGAAATCATTTGACGAGCGTCTACAGAAAATCCTGTATTGCTGTCCGCTTGCAGAACAAGGGACAGCAAATGAAGTACCGCTCGCTGAAGGTTTGGAACGCCCCAAGATTCTGCTGACCGCTTGCAAAAAAGCGCGAGTTTGCGGACCGCCTGCCCCCGGCGATTATCTGAGCAGAGAGCAAATACATTCGTAGTGCTTAGGTTAGACCAAACGTATCTCATAGTCAGTGTTGTGCACAAACCATTCTCACATAGTTTTAGCTAGCGAAACAATTCTTTAGGAAGATGAACACACTATAATAATTATAAGTTTTCAGAAATGAACTGTAGAACTCATCTATAATTTGATACAACAAAACAATAACAATTATTCATGATAAGCAATCCTACCTCACTACCCTCGCAAAATTTGGGTTAACCTCTCAACACCTGCAAAGAACTGCTCTCCGAGCTTGGAGAGAAGTTGGTCCCATCTGCCTTCTGGTGACGTCACCGTGACGACACAAAGGGACCACCCCCTCGCCGCGCTCTTAATGGTCAGTTGGGCCCTCCGCAGCTCTGCCAGATTTCGACTGTCCTCTGGAGCTACGGCACCGATTCTCTGAGTAGGAGATCCGTCAGTCGTACTATAGAATAAGAAGCACACAGTTTAGAATCACAAGCAGGGTCCGCAAATCGTATGGAAACGAGCTGGACTTCGTTTTTGAGGCGAAAAAGCAAAAGCGATACCCTTTTTGTGGCCAAAAAGACGCAAAATATTGCGACGTTTTTTAGTCGACGTTTCGTTTTATAAGGGTTTTTTTTACAGATGTGGCTTCGGGGCAAAGGGACTTCGTAAATTTTGGAGAAAGTCAAGGGCGACTTCGTTTTCAAAGAGCTTAAAACTGATGGACTCATGCCGGGCCCTGGTCACGAGTCCTGCTTCCTGACGAAATTTTGACATCAGGAATTAGAACAATGTTTTCTCGAGTTTTCAGAAGAGTTTAATACATTTTCTTGCATGAAAAAAGCTCTCCTTTTAGAGCTCCACCTCAATTCTTGACGTGTTCAGTAGAAAAAATCATTTGACCGCAAACTCTCCAGAACGTTCTCGGCCGAGAAAGTTTTTTTTTCAAGTACCTTTTCAATGTAGAGGATCAGCTTTGAGGAACAAAATCACCATTGAAACATTCTTGAAGAGCAAATCGAACTTCCAGCAAATTTTCATGAGATCTGACTTTGAAAGAAAAGTGCTCGGAACATTTAATGACTCTCTTGTTTTTAATGAGAAAGCTAGTGTAGGCAAAACCGCAAAGCCGCAATGCATAGTAGAAGCCATTTGTTCGCGTGTTTCTTCCGCGAAACAATGGGATCAAAACAATCAAGCTGTATTTTTCCCATTATTTCAAACGATTTATTCTGGAGACGCGGAATTCACTAGATAACTACATTTTATGAGGAAGTTTCTCTGTAAGAGTTTACCCTCAATCCAGGAAGGGTTTTAGGAGCAAAAAGATCGATGTCCTAAAATCCTAACAAAGTTTAGCTGAGTTATCATACAAAGTAGACTGACTTAAGCTACCAGGACATCCAAGACGACGATGTATACAATAATCATTTTTTTAACCTTTGCCAAAAAATGCGCTCTGTGCCAACTATCCGAAGATTTTTGTGAAAAAATCACTTCGAAAACAGATAATCTCGCAAAGAAGCGAATTATCTGTTTTCGAAAGCAAATAAACACTTCATCGTTTCTTTAGAGCTCCGCTCCTTACGAGATTTTGAGTGCGAGAAGAATTCATTATACCTTCCGCACCATCTTATCCTCTTCTCTCCTCATGGAATCGCAACAGATAATAGAAGTCCACTCCTTCCGCAAGAAAAGAAGAGAAGAAGTGCTCAGCGTCCAGCATTTTCATTTACTCGAACGACTGTTGATAAATGGAGAACAATTAGATAATCAATCTCCCGACCGAAAAAGACCTCCAAACCAGACTTTCCCAATGAGGAGTTATTGCAAAAGAAACAGAACACTCGCAACAACTTTGTCCTTTGTGACCGCGAAGGGTTTCTCCTACCCAATCAATTTCAATTTATAGGGTTTTTGACTGCTAGAAAATCGCTTCTAAAACTCTCTGGCCGAATTTTATCCTGCAACCCGGTATCTATTTGGAATTGTTCTACGGACTGCTCGCAAGGAATGCATAGCATATCAGCAGAACCATCTAACATCACGAAAAGTTGAGTTTATGCAAACGACGTCAAATAAGATCACAATGCATAAACGTTTGCCAAAAGCGTGAGTGCGCGAGGATAGCATCTATATAGGCACCGTCCACCCAAATCCTCGATATTGAGTTTCTGTTTTTTCTGGCACCTCTTGCGCACGCTGAGTCCGAATGCAGGCCTAAAATTGAAGAAACCAATTTTAGATGCCGTTCAGAATCCGCAGTAGACGAGCACTCTTACGCCTGCTGTCAGCTGCGGGCCAGCTGCGGGCCCATTGCCGGGCAGATGCGCACTCTCCCATGGTTTAACGATTTCTTGAGCTTTGCCCTGCTAAGCCAAATCACTGAGTGGGCAAGGCGACGTACCGCCCACTTGCTAGGGAGGAGCCAACGTGGCGAATCTGTCCTCTGAGGAATTTTCGAAGCGAATTTCTCGCTTCGGAAGCAACTTCAGACAGCGCGAGTTGGACAGCTATACCGTTGAGGGCTTCGCTACTGATAGCCATCGAGATTTCATAGACCCCATTTTGGTTGGACGGCGCCTATAAGGCTATGCGCGATCGTGAAGGTCGGTGAGCCTGCGTCTGCTCACACTTCCGCTTTTCAATAACAAAAAACAAAGAACTACATACTTCCCGTTTTGTTCCTTTTCATACGGGAAAAGTTTTGTTTCTCTTGTGAAATCCTTTTGATGCTCTCACAGGTACTTTCATTCATACGGATTCCAAGATGTACGGTGGAGTTGAACTTTTTCAAAGTCCTGTGATCGTGGGCAATGTTACGATCTCACCTACCTTCGTGATCGCGCACAGCCCTACAGCACTACATTATTTTCAAAGAAGATACCCACTACTCTTCCAACTCACAAGGGAAGGATACTGGGATGCCGTGGCCATTCATGATGAGTCATATACCGTTGTGCGGGTCTTGGAACGAGTAACTCATATCTGTTTTCCATATCTGCGAAACGGTGACCAGTGCAAAATTATGAGCATTTTTCCCATGGAACCAAAGCGTGGCGCACTGAACACGATTCTTGATGCCAGCTGATCTGTGTAGCGAGTGGCCGAGTGGTTAGTGGGTTGGACTCTGGCGCAGCCTATGAAAGTCCAAGTCCTGTTGCATGCGCTGTTTTTGCATTTGTACCAAAACACTTTTTCTTGCGAATAATTCAGTTCTGAGCCTTTAGCATGCAGATTCTCATCAATGCACCGCAATAATCTCGTTTACTCACTGAAAACACATAATTCCAAATTTAAACAATGTTCGAAGCACAGTAAACGTTCGCAATGGGCACATCTGATGACAACTAACTCATTACACTCAGGCTCATCACACCGGCTTTGCGCAGAATTGCTGCGAACTGATGTATCACCTTCGCCTCATCCCTTGTAGGTCTCCGGGTACTTCACAGGAGCGAACTCCTTCACTAGGCACGACAAGTGAAGCTTGGGGCAAAACATTCTACTGTTTGAAACTCGCTTGATATAAAAGTTTGTCAGACTATCGACCGATGCATGGATACCTAACCGTAATAGCCTGTACCAGCAGTACAGATTGAAACAAGACTTTCCCCACATATTGCACAGTATCACCATTATATACTGTATATTTCTTTACTTTTCTCCATTATTTGATGAAAATCTGCGTGCTAAAGGCTCCGAAGTAAATTATTCGCAAGAAAAAGTAATTTGGTACAAATGCAAAAATAATGCATGCAACAAGACTCGAACTTGAATAGGCTGCGCCCTAGAGTCCAAGACACTGACCACTCGGCTACTCGCTATACAGATCAGATGGCATCGAGAATCGTGTTCAGTGAGCCACGCTCTGGTCCCATGGGGAAATGCTCATAACTTTACACTGGTGACCGTTTCGCAGATATGGAACACAGATATGAGTTACTCGTTCCAAGACCCGCACAACGGTATATGACTCATCATGAATGGCCACGGCATCCCAGTATCCTCCCCTTCTCAGACAATCGACCGGACCCCTCCGCCGGACAGTCGGAATCTGCCAGAGTCGCGCCGGACCCAGTTGACCTATGAGAGCGGGGCGATTGGGCGGTCCGTCGCGGTGACATCACTGGCAGGCAAGTGGGACCCTTCTCCGGCCTTGCTGCAAAGGTACGCCATTTCTGCTCCGGAGGTACGCCAGGTTTGGCAGAGCCGCGCCGGAGAAATTTGCCCGCCGCGAGCAGGGCTCGGCACGAGGTGGCTTACAAGCAAGCTGGATATCGTTTTTGGGACGAAAAGCAAAGGGGGTTTCGTTTTTGTGACCGAAGAGACACGGAAAATTGGCGACGGCGACCTTTTTTTTTTAGTCGACGTTTCGTTTTGTGTGGGATTTTGGGGAATTTTTCAGTTTAGAGGAAATTTGGTTGAGGGTCAAAGAGGACTTCGTAAAAATTCCCAAAAGTCAAGGGGGACTTCGTTTTTTCCATTTTCATCTAGCCATCTCGTGCCGAGCCCTGGCCGCGAGTCCGCCAGATTTGGACGAGCCGCGCCACAGAAAGTCGGAGGGGTCAGGAGCACAAATGGGAGGTCTCCGGAGCACAAATGGGAGGGCTCCGGAGCAGAAATGGGAAGTCTCCGGAGCACAAATGGGAGGGCTCCGGAGCAGGCTGCGTATCGATTTGGCGCGTAGCCAAGCAAACGTCTAACTCCACGGTGATGAATCCTCTGTTTACGCTCTTTCTCCATATTTTAGTCGTTGTTTCTTTGATTTTGTTGTTTTTCCGCGTTTCTTTACCGTTTTTTTCTTTTCCGCGTTGCTCTTCGTCGCGTCGGCGTTTATGTTGTTGTAAGTTCCTCGTTTTCAGGTTTATGTTTCAAATTTTCGTGTGGATGCACTCAATCACTTTCAGTGTTTGGCTCTTTTCGACTTGCTGAGACATCGTTGACTTTTGATGGAGTGGTTTTTGTGATTAATTCTGGATTTTCGAAACAAAAAGTATATCCGAGTGAGTCTACTTTTTTTGTTTCGCACTTGTTCATGCTTGAGCTCCACGGCGGATTGCCTGTTCAAGTGTGTATGTGCGCTCAGAGTCGGCGTCATTCATTACCTAATCTACTACGTATCTTCCAAGATTCATGATAAACGTGTAGACTTTTTAAGATGACAAAAACAACAGCTCGATGCTACAATATCTTCGATAGAAAACTCAGCAAAGAGTGAGCCGTTCTTTGTATTGTTCAAGCGGTGTATCAGAACTACTACATGCGATTTTATTGACAGTGGCTGTAGCATCATGGTACTATCCCTCAACTTGTGTGCATACTTTCGATAACTTTACCGTTAATGTGCTTTTTTGGCAAAATCAGTATTATTCTCTTCCTAGTTTTTTGGTCATCAAAGTGATCAGAGGATGATTTAGTCAGTTTTACCAATTTCTGAAGGCGATTTGTTTTGATGCTATCTGGCCGTTTGTTGCAGGGCTGCAAAAATATAGCAGCTACTTTGACTAAAGAAAAATTGGTTTGATACATTCGCTTTATGATAAAACAAACAAGCATGGACATACAAAAAAACTAGCGATTCAGAGGCACTGTAAAGGTGGTCGAGCGTCAGCTGTTCGTGGAGGGGTTCGCAGAAGATTCTGATACTGCTGTGCGACTGATAGCTCCAAGAGGTAAGGTTGGCTTTCATCATTTAGTTGCTCTTCTTCAGTGCGCAAATAGTGTGTAAGTTCAGTGTGCAAAGTCTGAGTACCTGGGCTATAAATTTGAGGCGGAGTCCGTTGCGTGCGGTAATTCACCTGATCTTTTTATTCACTTTCTCCCCTCAACTCGCTATTTTTTGAGCCAGCGCTGGCAATAGTTTGGAGTTGAATTTTTTGTCCATAATAAATCAGGGAATTGTTCCAGGCTCTGGTATCCAAGGCTTCTCACAGTTATCCCCACAGTGATCTCAGTCCTCTTTCTTAACCGCTACTAGCAGTTCTCCGTAGTGGGAAGTTTGCGTTGATTGATTGGCACTTGGTCTTTTAGCTGCGTATCACAGCAGAATAGGTTGTTAAAAGGTAGGCTGCGAAGTTGGTTGTGCGTGTCATTTTTGACCGGTGTGGAACAAGGCGTTTTCTTGTGCCTATTCTTTTTCCCGTGAGGGTTATCTAGTCGAGAAGACGTTCATTAAGATTCCCGAAGTTTTTGGATGATTTTTTGTCGTTATAAAGCGTCACTATATACAATTTTGAAGTTCTTGTAGTCAGTTGAATTTGCAGAGCCTGTAGTTGTCTGTTCTTGCAGATGAGCACAGGAATACTTGACGATGTTCACGTCATCATCACATTTTTTGCAGGATTTTTGATTGCCATCACCAAACCCTAGTTCGCCCACAACTAACAAGTGAAAATCTCAAGGTTAACTCTTTGTAACACTCTTTCGGGCAGGACTTACTCTGTTAACTAATTCTTGCGCATTCAATCAAGACCGTTGGCACTAATGGAAGGATTTGTTGCTTCTCACCTCCAATGTTCCTTTATTTTAGGTTGCTGGTATGCTAGTGGCTCCCTTCCTAGTGTCAGCCTTTTCTACTGATTCATCGGATGTGGGCAAGACAGTGCTAGAAACTGTATTGGGTGGCGGAAGTTTTGATATGTTTTTACATAAGCTCAAACCAAAGGCGAGTCGACCAGAGCTCTCATTCTTGCTGTTTCTGCCTCTCATTGTGTATTTGGAAACCTATTTTTCCTTATAAGATCGCGTCGTAATCGTGTCATCATTCTTCATACTTTAGGTTAACATAACTGCTATTGAGTTAGATTCAGTTGTTGTTGAAACAGCAAAGAAATGGTTCGGCGTTCTTGAAGAAGAAAATCACCGTGTGATTGTACAAGATGGTCTCGAGTACTTGAAAGAAGCTAGCAAATGTGGTACGAGCGGTAGACTTTCATGTTTCTGTGAAATGAAAGTTTTTGCATTTAGGGGAGAGATCTGATGTCATAGCCTTGGATGCATGTGATGAAGCCATTAGATCGCCGTGCCCTGCTAAAGTATTTCGGGATGTGGAAGTGATCGAGAGGCTCAGAAATGCTCTTACCCGTACAGGTCAATCATCAGGCTTTGCACATTCTCTCAATCGCAAAATAATACCATAAAATGTTGCAATTTGCAGGAGATTGTTTGCAGTCAATTTGAAATAAATATCTTTTTTCTTCATTCTTCTATCTTCTATCCACAAACGCTGGGGGTGAGAGGGAGGGGGTAGAGTACGGGGGTGAGGCTCGCGCTGAACTCCTACCCGGGGGGGGGGTTCCTATTCGGCTAATTTGGGTGGGGTTTAGAGACAAAATTGGGGTTTGGAGCTTAATTAGGGCTAATTACAGTATGCCGCGGCAGACTTGCGGAGCACAAAATCGGGGGGCTCCGGCGCACAAAATGGGAGGGCTCCGGAGCAGAAATGGGAGGTCTCCGGAGCACAAAATGGGAGGGCTCCGGAGCAGAAATGGGAGGTCTTCGGAGCAGAAATGGGAGGGCTCCGGAGGACGAGTGGCAGACCCACCGCTGGGGAAACCCCGCGGCCCTGCCATTTCTCCGCCGGAGGGGTCCTATCCGCCGTCTGAGAACATAATCACAAACGTTAGGCCTAAGGCATACCTCACACGATTCAGCCGAATCGCCACTTTCACGCGACTCGGCGATTTGCCAGATTTCTAAAAATTCATCGTGCGTGCTTCTCGGACGCATTGGGTAGCTTGTGTAAGTTGCTGCAAACGGAGCAAGTTCTGACCAATGTCAGCGCGTTAGCGACGAATTACGAAGAGTCGCTGTTGTGCCGGATCGCGCAGCGACCGGAATCGCGCGAGGTATGCCTTGGGCCTTAGGGAATCATATGTCGTCGATAGGCTCCACTGCGCCCCCCGGATAGCTGGAACTTTGAAATGCCTGTAATGTGCATGGCTGCGTGGTTTGTCGCAGACATCAGAGTGGAACCACCCTTTTTGGCGACATAAAGTTCTCTAGCGCAGATGTTGCGCACGCCACACTTGTTGACGAGAACGGCTTCGATTACCTCCCTCACATCCTTCCATCCTTCTGCAGAAAACATTCCTTGTATGCATACATATTTCGAAAGTTCAATTAGCGTAAACTTCTCATTATAACAGTGTTTTGCTGCTCATGGTATTGTAGAAAGGGAGGCCTTTTTGAACAACTGAAGTATAATACTTTCTATTTATTATAATCACCTTGCCATTTTTAGTAAGGTTTTCAGGGGACGCGAAACTCTTCTAAATTGTCTTTTTGTAACTATTAGAATATAGAAACGATCAGATAAAACGTCAACAAGATCAATATCATATACAGAAATTTCATATTTTCACGCCAAAATTTATTGTCGACTCAAGACAGTGCGAGTCGTGAGAGACGCTAGAGCACAAACGTCTTGTAGTCACCGTGCACAATCTGTGATTGGTGAGATTTCGATGCATTGCTATAGGAGGCCCCTAATTGACTTTTGCCCAAGTACCGCTGCAAGAGTTGTATTCAAATGCGAGAAAATCGCCCAGAAAGTAAATGTCACCATGCTGGGGGTCACCGTGGCCATCAGTGGGTTGATTGAAAGGTGACGAGCAAGAAATTAGACTCGTTAGAACCTAGAAATCTCGGGAATTGCCTTTTGCTGTGAACTATACATTATTCGAACAAAGTATTCTGTAGTACTGTTTCGGGCTCATCACTTCTCCATGCAGTACATGATGGGATGATGGGGTCGATCCTAGAAACTCCTGACATGTGGAGCGTTTTTCCTGCTTCGTAATGCACATTTTGCAGCTGGACTTCGGCAATAGTTAGGACTTGCTGACTTTACTCATCAGCAATTCACCAACGTTAGACTTAGATGCCCTTAACAGTCTGTGCGCTTGCCAAACTAGGTACATCGTGCTGCTCCTTTATTATGTTGAACATCTTTGAATGAAGAAGTGTTGATTGGTTACACATTTTCTTCCTTCTCAAAAAGTCAAGTGATGTTTGTCTTCTGCGCACATACATAGTGGCCCGTAGTAAAGCTCGATTAGTTCAGGTGAACTGAACTTAACCCATCAGTTGAGCTCACGTCAGGTGAACTGATGACCGCCCACCTTCCCATGCTATAAGCATGGAGAGTGAACTGATAGTTGACCATCCGTCCACCTGCAGCAGTCAACTCTTGCACATCAGCTCACGTTCAGTACTGAACGTGAACTGATGTTAGACGAATGCAGATAGTACGTAAAAGGAGACGCAAACAAGAATTCCGTAAGTTGCTCCTGAGTAACTTACGATACACATCACTTTACCTAACACTGCAGACAAAATCGGCGCAAAACTGCACAACCGCGCCCGAAAAGGAGAGGATCGATGAACAGCTGATTTTGGCTAGGAGAACAAAGGAAAACAAATTCTTCTCTTTCTTGTAAACTTTACTAATTCTTTTTGAAAAGCTGTCCAGAACGAGAACTCATTTATCCACTTCATTAAATTCACGCTGCAACCATTTCGTTTTTTCATGGAATTTTCGTCACAAATCGTGTTTTTGTTTTATCCGTGCGTTTGCTAGGCGAAATCCTTGATAGCGGTCATCATCGATTGCGATAGTGGCCGCTGTCAAAGATTGCCCGGCGATGCAGCAAAAGATGTACCGCTAGACGGTGTCGAACCACGGCCGCGCACATGTAATTCCAATCGCTTACCCTTTGACAAAACGGGCTCCAGTGGTTCCTTTCTCAAGAACACACTCGATCATAATGTCTAGGAAGCGATCCGCATCCAGATCAATGGCTCGCCGGATGCTAGACTGAGGCGCGATGAAATCAACTGCGGTCCGCCTCAAGGGAGCTGCCCTGATGGGGGGTTTACTACGGGTCAGTATCTTCGTCATTGACACTTATGTTCGCAGTTACTTCACATACCCCCATCTCATTAAAAGAATTAGCATGTAAAAGCACTTCAAATCGACACTTTCAGTGTTTTATGTCTTGTATGGTATGTTCTCTACACAGTGTCCTAAAAAATGTGCCTACTGTTTGATTGTCAATAACTCTCTTGTCATCAAGTCTTTCATAAAGCTTTAGGTAACATTTTGTAGAGCTGGCTTCAACTTAGATTTGCAATTTAGAGCGAACCATCGATCGCTCTTCATTACTGTAGAGTTACGGTAGGAACTCTCGGCTTATGGCGTCGTTGTGAAAGAGCAGCCTTTTCAAATGTTTTAAAAAAGGTTTAGAAACCTCTGTGATGGGGTTTCTGTGGACGCTGAATTCGTAATCAACTTTGTACAAGATTTTGAAGCTTTCTAAACTGTGTAATCACATTTTTTAGAAACAACGATTAGACGGCAGCCACTGGTCATTGCATAACTTTTGAAGGAAGCATTATGATGAGATGCAAGCTTTATATTTAGAATCAGCAACTCTATATAGCCTAGTATGAGTTCTTGGCTCAAAACCCTTCTCAAAGTTCCTACCGTAGTCCTACATTAATGAACGATCAGTAATTCGATCCATACTGCAGGTTGAAGCCCTACAAAATGATACCTGAAGCATTTCGAAAAACTTCATGACAGAATTATCAACAATCAAACAGTAGGCACATTTTGACACCCTGTGCACTTATGTGGGGACATCATTTAAGTGTGAAAACTAACATAGAATCTATTTTTTTGCTCTATTGCATGATTTACCTATGCATTTGTGTCCGAAGAGGTCGACGTGATTGAATTTTCTGTCGAGAAAAGTTTGTGCGAGGCCACGACACGCAAGGAAGAAGAGCAGCGTGGTTATTACACGCGCATTTGCCGTCTGGAAAAGAATGGAAGAGATACAGTTTGAGTATTAGTTGTCCTGAGAGCAGTTTGAGTAATCCATTTTCAAAAAAGTCGGACCTAAGATTTATAGCCTATTCTTCGTAGGTTTCCACTCTTTTTGGCCGAGAGAAATTTGTGCCAATTCTTCATAACATCGCGTTTTCCGGGGACAATGACAAAATGTAGTTATTGTAAAGAAAATCGTGACTTTTCCAACGTCCGTTCGGAGCGAAGTAGATTGCTCAGAAAGACTAGGTTGTGAAATCAATGTGCTGATGTTTCTTTTTTCGCAACGTTTTAAACTTTTCATGACATATGCTAATTTGAAACTATCAAATGTTGGTTCTTCTTCCTTCTCACTCTGCAGCACAAAGTGAAAATTAATCGACCGGTGCGTTTGAAGTATTTGCATCAGATAAAAGTTTACTTACCTGCAAGCAGACATGGGGTTTCATGCTTTTGCTTACGAACGAAGGGAGAGGTGTACAAAGCGCTCACAACAGCTAGAAATGGTCTTCTTTCGTTATTTTCTGGATTTATATGGACCTTTACTGGCAGTAGGAGGACACAAAGGAAGATTATTCAACTTTATGCTAACCAACACCTCTTGTATGGTAACAGAGCACCACGCCGTTGCCACTTAGTAAATCATATTTTTACGTTGTTTCAGAAAGCGCATTGTTAGAAAGGGTTGTGTCAATATTTATGAACAGAGCCTGCTAGTAAAGGTTCTTGACAAATGGGTCCCAAGCCATAAATCCGGAGTAGATATGACCCAGAAAACTAGTCATAATCATTTTAAGGAAGTTAGTAGTCATAGGCCCCGGGCAGACTTCACGCGATTTGATCGTCGCGACTGAATCGCGAGGAGACAACTGTTACAACATCATTACATGCCGATCAACTTGCATTTCGGTTGTGATACTTTTCCAGCCCGAAATTTTTGAATGTGAAATGAAAATGAATGGAAATGTCGGCGATTGAGTCGCGACGATCAAATCGCGTGAAGTCTGTCCGGGGCCATAGACGACAGAATTCCTGATTGGCTGATTTGCTCAAAACATAAAATGCTTAAAAGAGATCTTAGCTTGTTCAATAAATATACAAATGTTTACCAATGGACCATCTGCATGGATGCAGCTTCAGTCGAAATAAAAAATCACTGCAGTGATAACATTCGAAAATAAGAGATTCTCGTTAAGTGTCTTAGACTAACTTTTCTGTGGCCAATCTTTAATCAAAAGAACTAATTACACAGCTCAAGTTAAAACACTCTTTAGCTTTCAAAGTTGAAATGCAGTCGAAACCAATTTA